CCTTAGCCCCTTGAGCCACAGGCACCGAGCCAGATGCTACAATCTAATCTGTGTGTTTCCTTACTCTACCTTGTTGATTCCTTAAAATAACCCTGAAAGTAGAGGTTATATCCATTTTGTAGATGAGAAAGAGAGGCACGGTTTAACTGATTTGCCGAAGGATACACATCCACCTTGTAATTACAGCCTACAAAGTCCAGTCCTCTGAGACACGTGTTTTTCCACCATGCCACACAAGAAAGAGGAAAAACCACCCAAGATTATTTATTACTGGTCAAGTCAATATTGCTCTATTTAATTATTCCATTGTAATTTGTAACTTGAAATTGTCAAAAGGCATTAAACTGACTTACAATCAAAGCTTTTATTTGATTACATCTACATAATAAAAGTAGCTTCAAAAGTCTCTGTTGTGCATAATTTTAGATGTTGTAGTAAAATTTTAAAGATACTTCAAAGTGCATTGAAATATCTGAACAAACTGTTTTCAACTTATAAATGCAGCTTAATCTATAAAGCATTTGTTGGGAGAATCTTGTGACATCATTACTTAGTAACCATGGTTGATTCATTAAAGTATGGACAATTGCTGGCTACCCATATGGGACTTTTCTACAGAGTGGATTATCTGAGATGAACATCGAAATTCAGTACAGCTTTTCCTTCACATCTCTGGCCATTTCTCCGACTCCCACCAGAACATGCACTAAGAGAAAAATGAGCTTATGTAAGTATAATTAACTAGAAAAATGTGGTTGAAAGAAAAGTTACATAATACATGGCAAGGTGACACACAAATGAAACTCGGTGATTGTTCTGGGCAGCAGCTTCATGTATCAGCAAAGAAAGAACAAACCATAATAAATATGGTAGGTCCAGGTTTTCTTCCACTTTACACCAGACTTACCTTCCCACAGTGAGCAAACTGTTCTTCACTAAGGATTATTTTTATGAGAGATGTTTTACTATGAACACATTGCATAGAATTAGGCTAATAGTTCAGTATTGAATAGGTTAGGTACCCTCATTATTTATTGACAGATTGTAGCTAGAGCTGAAGTTAGATTTTAAAAAACCTTGATTTCATTTTGCCATGTGGAAACAAAAAGTGCTTCCTGGGCTCATGTGGAGATGGAGGTGTAAAGATGATAGATTTCTGTGTATTTATAGAATATATATAGTGAGGGTTTTAAAAATATTTTCCCACATGAAGATATGAGGTATGATGCTTAACTTCAACTACCCTTTCCATGCTTGGTTTACAAGCAGACATAATTAATTAGGTCCTCGTCTGCAGAAACTGCAGCGTCCAAAGTCCGGGATTTTGATGTGGTCACCATCTGAGGATTTCTCTGCTCCTGCCTTTGTTCCTCCCCGTGCTCCACATCTCAAATCGATGCTGTCCCATGTAGGGCACTTTGCCACCTACCTCATCTCTGACGGCTGTGCTGTATTTTTCACACAGTAGCGACAGGTGCTGCGTTAATCTTACCATGCCAACAATCAAGGCACCACCGAGCAGAGTGAGTGAAGGCCAAAACAAACAGTGAAAGATAACCATCCGGTCGGACTTTTTTATAAGAATGACGTCTTCAGGTTGACTGTCTGGACTGTAGAAGCATGAAAAGGGGGTTCCATTTTTGTGATCGAAGAATTCCTTCATGTCCAGAGCACGGTTGAGCAAATCATTCCCATCTCCGTAGCACTTAGGTGTATAAAAGCACTAGGAATATGGAGGAGGAAAAAAGGGCACTGTCACCAATGCCAAGCACTTAACAGTTGATTCTGAATTAGCTTCAGGCTGAAGTTCTTACTGTGGGGTGTTTTCAATCTTACAAGGTGGTGAAATATTACATAGCAGAAGGCCCAGAGTGAAATGGCCATTTCCAGGCACAAAGCAAGGACATGGGAAGGGGTTCTCAGATGGACTATGACCCTCCCCATGGCCAGGTAACCCAAGGAATCCATCGGTCCTTTCCCCAAAATCTTCCTAAGCCCTACTACAAGCTTCCACCACCTCTCAGTGCCTCTACTGGCCTTGTCTGGCTCTCCCATGGCAGACTCTTTCCCTAAAGGTCAGCACATTGAGACATTGAAGCTTCGCTCTAGGCCCACACAGAGGGGCTCCGTCTGGGCTTTGGTTCCTGGGACGCCGGGGCAGGGGAGAAGAAGGGATCTCTACCAGCTGGTGACTTTCAAAAAACCTTGAGTTTATTATTATACCCATTAGTCACTAGAGGTACTGTGCTAAGGGCCTCCAAAATGTTTGAAACCTTAAAAATTGCCGCATCCAAAACAGAAAATAAATGTCATCAAATTGAAATTAATGCTCAATTAAAGACAATAAAATGCAACTTGTCAACTAACATAACTTTTCTAGTTAGGTGTAAACGTAATCTTCAAATCATAGGACCCAGTTGTGTAACTTATCAAAAAATTATCATAGACTCTTAAATTTCTTTGATAAAAAATTGCTTGATTTAGAGTAGACTGTGAGTACATTTTAACATTCGTGATATGATGGGGAGTGGGAGCTCCAGGCCAGACGCCCACAAATGACAGCTCTGTGGCTCAGCCTGTGAGTTCCAGACACCAATTAGTGAAACTGGAATAACTTCTCTCCTTTCTGCATGTCCCATGTCCCTCTAAAAATGCTTTTAGCTTCATGTATCCTGATTTGATCACTATAAAAATATTCGCTAGCAAATAGATCTATCTCTAGAGACAGCCCCAGGTTTTGTATCCTACTGGAGACAGTCTGGCATGGAGGGGTTGTTGCGGTAAGAACTCTCATCACATGAGCTTTCCATTACCTTGGGATTTACCTGGACAGCCTCTTCATTATAATGTAGCAGGGCTTTCTGACCCGAATGGGCGAGGTTCACAAACACCTGCAGACACGGGAACTTCCCCCGCCCTCGACAGTCCGTGCCGCAGGGGAAAGCACAATCCAGCCAGTCCTCCGTGATGTGTGTGTGGACGGTGGTGCAGTTGGATTCTTCTCTCTGAGTGCTTCAATGTGAAAGGAAGAAATGTTCTCCACCCACCAGAAAATGGAGTTCTACGTTTCTGTTAGGGTAGCCAGGGGCATTTGTCTATCTCAGTGCAATGTAGGACCGTGACAGAGGGTACTTCATGATCAGGGAGCCAGGGGGACACAGCACCAAGCTGCATCTCCCTGTAAGGATCAGGGAGCCAGGGGGACACAGCACCAAGCTGCATCTCCCTGTAATCCTTCTGGCATAGTTCTCACCATGCCAACCCTCAGATCAGTGGTTTTCAAACTTTAGAATCACCTGATTGAATTGTTAGAATGAAGAATTTGTTTAAAGGTGGAGTTTAGGGTTCCACTGCTAGATAGTCCCTTTCAGTCCGTCTGAATTGAGGCCCAAAAATCTGTACATTTAATATTTAAGATGCAGGCATTTGGAGAACCATATTCTAAGCAATGTTACTCTAAATACTGTAACCACCAAGATTCACTGTCACACAGAAACAGCATCTCTCATGCCTGCTTCATTATTTCAAGTTGTACCCACTGTCTTGTTCTGATGAAACTGTGGTTGGAACGACTCCCCCTACAGGGCCCTTGGTCTGCGCTGCCTACAGAGGGTCTAATAAGGAAATGCAATTCCACTTCCTCTTCCCACCCTCCTTCCAGGAGGCCAGGCAAAACCATGCCAGGAATCTCTCATTAGGATACTTAACCATGTTTTTGCTATCAGCAAGTTGCTTGAGGTCAGGAACTACATTCTACTTACCCTTATGTTCCCCAAGGCATGAAGCAGAACGCCTCTCACAGCACATCCTCACTAAGTGTTGTGCTGAATTTCAACTTTACTTGGAAAACATTCCTTGAGAATTTGCATGTGTACTACATACACAGACTGTCCTAGGTGCTATGAGAAGTGGTAACAAAATTCCTGCCGTGAAGCCCTTGTGGTGGCTGAGGAGAAAGGGTACATGTGTACATATATGAAATAATTAGAGAAGTCCAAGATACAGTAAATGAGGATGAGAAGAAATGCTTCTAATGCACTTGTGTGCAACCAGCACCTCATTCACACACTCACATCTAGGTGGGTCCCAATGTTTACTTGTGCCTTAAACACAGAAAGTTAGATTAGCAAGCTCCAAAGTCAAAGTTTCAGAAGCACTTAGGTTCATCCTGTGCTTTACTACCTTTGAGTATAACTAGTCCTGAGACACATTTAATGTAATCTGAAGGCCCACAGCATAAAAATTATGGGATGTGGCATAAGAAAAAATACTGGGTAAGTGAAAATACAAATATGAAAACGTAAGATTTTTTTATCCCCATAATATTCTGAAGTTAGAAAAAGATTCTTGGCTCAGCGCCTATAACACCTAGGGCGCCGGCCACATACACCAGGACTGGCAGGTTCAAACCCAGCCCAGGGCTTGCCAAACAACAATGACAACTACAACAACAACAAAAAATAGCCAGGCGCTGTGGTGGGCACCTGTAGTCCCAGCTACTCGGGGGGCTGAAGCAAGAGAATTGCTTAAGCCCAAGAGTTTGAGGTTGCTGTGAGCTGTGACACCATGGCACTCTACTGAGGGCCACATAGTGAGATGCTGTCTCAAAAAAATAAAAATAAAAGATTCTTTCATAGAATCTGCCTTTTCACTGAATTGATATATATACTTATTTAAGCTAGACATCTCAAAAATAATATCTTAGTTAGAACTTCAGCTCTTGAAACCTTAACCAAGTACTAAACTGGGCAGGATTTGAATTTTCCCTGAAGATCTCAGAAAGCTCCAATACAGAGAGTGGGACATTCTGTCCTGTGCACAAGATCCAGGGCAGAACCTTGCAGGTGGAACCAGATATATATTTAGGGCTGAAAAAAATGAGCATTTCCTTCAATGCTGTTGTGTATCTGTGTACAGCTGTGACAAAATCCATTTGATTGAAAGATGAGACAAAGAGGGAGTGGGGATGGATATGAGCTACCCAGGGCTGTGGGGCTGCGTAACAACCAGCTTTTATGGACCACACTACTCCCTGAGGTGGCACAAGACTATAAGGCTAGAGAGATGTGAGAATTCACTGCTCCTAAGGTACAGGTATTTAGAGGCCACTCTTAAGCATTCACTAATTACTTTCCCTGAACAAGTTTCAGAAATGCTTAGAAAAGTAAAATTTGAATAAGAGCAATGGTTTGGCCTCAGCTCGAAGAAAGTATCTTCAAAACATCTCCCAAATCTAGGCTGGGCACAGTGGCTCATACCTGTAATCCCAGTACTTTGGGAGGCCAAGATGGGAGGGTCACTGAAGGCCAGGAATTTGACACCAGCCTGAGCAAAGAAGTGAGACCCCCACCTTTACAAAAACGAGAAAAATTAGCTGGGCATGGTGGTGTGCATCTGTAGTCCAAGCTCCTAAGGACACTAAGGCAGGAGCATTGCTCAAACCCAGGAGTTTTAGGTTACAGTGAATTATGATAATGTCACTGCCCTCCAGCCAGAGACCCAGAGACCCTGATCAAACAAAATTAAACAAATCTTTCAAATATATCACATTTTAAAAAATAACATGACCAACCTGCACACATATGCACATACATACCTACATTTACTCAACTCATATAGATATACTCACATAAGGCAGCTATATATTTTTAAATAGATAAGAAAAATGGATTAACAGGAAAAGGAGGAGAGAGAGCTGGAATGAAGTCAGGAGTGGATACGAACATGTAACCTGCTGACCAAAACGTCCCGTAGGGTCGTAAGAACTGAGATGCAAATGTGGCTCAGAACTTCCTAGCAGCCAACGCAAGGAGCACAACCAGATACGGATTCCTGTTATTTTACTGAATAAAAGTAAGCTGGTTGCTCAGGAGCAGCAAAGACTCTTCTAGGCTCCTTCTAATGGTGGCACTGTAGTGCCAGAGAGGATGGGGTCCTCTACATTTTTGCCCTAACAATGGTAACCCAGGAATGGCAGGAGATGAATCTGATAAGTAACACACGGGCCACCCTTGTCCTTTTCTATGACCCTGCTCCCTCAGTCAACTCCTAGGCTGCCTTCTTCCATCTCTCCTGGGCCTTCTGTTGCTCTTCTGCTGTCCACAGTGAAAGCTTCTCTTGCTTTTCCCCATCCTGTCCTGACTTCCTCACCACCCTCCAAAATTAAACAGCTTCTCCCTGCCCTAATCAAAATCGAAAATCCCCATCCTCTCAACTCAGCAAACTTCAGCCATACTATTTACTGACTGAGCAACCACCATGTGCCAGATAAACACTGTCAAACTCAAAAACTTCAGACTCAACTTTCACTGTGACCTTGGGCAAGTTACTTGCCCTTTCTGAGCCTTGGCTTTCTCATTTATAAAATGAAAATTAAATGAAAATTAAAATAGGAAGCCTTACTGATCCCATAAACAGCTGCAGCTTGGGGCCTTGCAGCTCAGGGGCGAGGGCCCCAGCAACGTACACTGGAGCTGGTGGGTTCGAATCCAACCCAGGCCTGCCAAACAACAATGACAACGACAACCAAAAAATAGCTGGGCATTGTGGTAAGTGCCTGTAGTCCCAGCTACTTGGGAGGCTAAAGCAAGAGAATCACTTAAGCCCAAGAGTTTGAAGTTGCTGTGAACTGTGACGCTACAGCACCCTATACAGGGCGACATAGTGAAACTCTGTCTCAAAAAAAAAACATTTGCAATAAAGCTAGAGAAAAGAAAATGTTATTAAGACAATCATGCGGAAGAGAAAATACATTTACTACTCATTAAGTAGAAGTGGGTCATCAAGGGTCGCCGTCCTGGCTGTGCTCACACCGAGGAGTGAGGAAGAGGAAGAAGAGGGTGGGTCTTGCTGTCTCAAGGTGACAGAGGCAGAAGAAAGTCCAAGGGTACGTGGACCACGCAGTTCAAACCCATGGTGTTCAGTGTCAATTGCATTATTACATGTGTTTAATAAGGAAATTAAAATAAAAGAAAGGAATTAATATTGCCTGAGCAACCACCATGTGCCAGATAAACACTGTCAAACTCAAAAACTTCAGACTCAATGTTCACTGTGCTGAAGTACGAACCTTCCCTGGAATATGTACATGTTAGAAGGAGAATTTAGGATCATGTTATAGTGGATCATGAGACTGGGGTGGGGGAGAGAAGGACAAAGGAATATCCTCAACTTGCTAACCACCTTTTCATTCGCACCCGGCTCCCCCAGCCCAGAGAGGCCAAGGTGCTGTGCCTTTCTGTCCTAGGCCCCATCAGGAAGGCCAAGACTGCAGAAACCAAAGCCAGCCTCCCGCCTTCACCACTGTCTCTGGGTCTCCTTTCTGTTTCTTACCTGAGCATGAAAGGCTTTAGGATGGTTGTTCCAAGTAAGAAGAACATTAGAACGGAGAAGCCCATCATTGCAAACCCGAGCAGCAGGGCTCGGTCCTCACCAGCACTGGACGGCAGCTTCCGGCGCACGTCTGCTAGGTCTCCATCATGGGAGTTGGTGTCTCTCTTCCTCCCTGAGGTAGGAAGGGCTGTCCTGTGGGGGAAGCGAAGAGGAGATATTGGGATAAGCTCACAAAGTGGGAACGGTTACCCACCAGGGCAGGGGCAGGTGGAGGGATAATCCTGTGTGCCTCCCACCTGAATACCATGAGCAGGTTCAGTGCAAAACAGGGAGCTCAGAGTCTGGGGAACAGTCCATCTAAACAACCTAAAATGATCAATTGTATGTTGTCAAATATTTTTATTTTTATTTTTTTGTGGCAGGGGCTGGGTTTGAACCGCCACCTCCAGCATATGGGGCCAGCGCCCTACTCCTTTGAGCCACAGGCACCGCTCCTATCAAATATTTTTAAAGATATTGTAACAAACAAGACAGAGGAATGTTGCCTGGTAGGGAAGTCTCTAGAAATCTGTTTCATCAGTGACTACAAAGGAATTACCTACAAGCAGCTTTCTTTGGTTGAACGTAAGTAAGTGTTCCGAACTTATTTATCTTTCAGGGATGCTGCTTTGTCTCCTGAAAATAAGCTTTACATCCGCTTATAAATTCCATATGGAAAGAATGACTCCACAAGTTCACATTTGGAATGAACAGCCTACTGAAATGGCAGAGTCTGACCTGTTTGTCCATGTTCACCTGCAGGAAAGGCAGCATGCCGGCCAGCGGGCTCTCCGGCCCACGGCCCGTCCACTCAGAACTATGAATGAAGTTTTCCCTACTTCCTCCTTCCCCACATTCCTCTCCTCCTCCTCTGTCCACTCACATCTCTCCACAAGTGTCCCTGAATTTCTTCTTTCTTTCTCTCTCTCTCCTCTGCCTGAAATCCTGCTCCCTCAAAGGATGTGATAAGTTCGTTCTGAATGGGGTACCTAGCAAATGGTAAAGTCCAACACAAAGGCTGCAAACGGGTGGCCTGTGACCAGCATCCATCCCGCAGATGTGTCTCCTTTGGCCTTTCTGTGCTTTTTTTTTTTTTTTTATCTTTATCGTGAGATAAGTTGCTAACACTTTAAAAATCATGCCATTTCTCATAAAAATGCTGCTTTCTGACTTGTCAAAAACATCACAAGATCCACCCTGCTACATAGAAACAGCTGGAGGAACAGTGGCCACCCCTGTGGACAGGGTGTGTTCTCCAGTCGGCCACAGTCCCACCTCTTCCTGTGGTCATTGTCACTGATCTGCTACTCCCTGCTCAGTAGCCATTTGAGTTCCAGAAGTATCTCCATTTCAAGAAGATTAATGAAATCTTAAGCCAAATCAATACAGTTCTAATGGTAGAAACTTGGGCTCCATCAACTGCCTAAAAACTCACTAAATTTTGAAGCCGAGCCAAAACCCTATCAAGGGAATTGCTAGCTGTTTTTGTCCCGAAAGCGTATTTCAAACCTTACGCCACACCCTTCCCCTCTCCTCTCTCTAGCTCCCTTTCTCCCCAGCAACATCTCTTGCTCTGAAGAGAGGGAGGGGAAAGTCAGGCAATCCACAAAGTCCCGGGGGAGGCTATCCTGGGCAGCACTGAGCCCCGAAGACCGCAGCACTCCTCTTAATCCCACTTGGGGAGCTGCAGACCTGGGTGGGTATTCTTAGTCCCCCTGGATACTTTCCTCATCCTCTACCATCCCACCCTGAGAGAATGAGCACAAAAAATAATTTTAATAAAATTTAACCTGTACATTTTATAATTTATCAACAAATATGGTAGATTAAGGGCGGAACTTTAGCTCTGAGTAAGGTCTGGGTATTTCTGTAGTTCCCAGTTCCCAATGCCCATATTTTCCCTTGCGGTTTGAAACTGGCTCAATATCATAAGATATTCTGGAGGCTTACTAGAAGATATCCTTGGGAGCCATGAGCGAAAGGGTTATAATGGGTTATATGGCATTTCTAACATTCGTTTCTCATACCCAATTATTATGAAATGTTACAGGAAAACTGGCACGACCTGATTCTGATCTAATTTAAGAGTAAGACAGGCCTGGTGGTATCCCAGACTAGACTTTCTATTTCTAATATTTCTGTCCACCCTCTGGTTAATTCACAGTTGTGGAAAGGGATAATATAAAATGATAATTTAAAATTAACAGATGTTTTTATTATTGCAAAAGTAATAGGCTTCTGTTTCAGCAGTGTCATAGACTAGACACCCTGTCTAAAGGTTTAAAAAGTTTAAAAAAACAAAGTTTAAAAAAAAAAGAATTGCAAACATTCAAAGGACAAAAACTATGTGCAAGTGGGAACCCAGAGCAGAAAGTGGACAGAAACACAGTTTTCCTTTGAGGGCCTTTGCAGAACTTGGTGAACCTGAGCCTTAATCTCACAGTTCATGGCTAGGGTTACAGGGGCAGGAGCTATGCCTCGGGCCTATCCAAGGTGTGGAGTTTAAAACACCATTTGTCTAGGGCTGGGAGCCTGAAGGACCTGAGACTGAGAGTCAGGTTGAACTAGAAATAATCCTCCTTTCCACACACAAACAACTCCACAGGTGATTGCAAGGAAAATGCCTTTCTTAAAACTTGACACTGACTAGAGTAGGAAAATTACAATCTCTCCTGAAAGTTTATAGCCTTAGGGTGATCTTCAAAAGAGGTTGCTGCCTGAATTCATACTACCTGCATAATCCAAAACCTTCTTGCTAAGAATTTTAGTCTAATGTTGTTTCAGTAGGTAGTGCCCCCTGCCATCTGGCAGAAGCAAATACCCTCTGTAGGAGCCCACCTCCAACTGAGACCTTGAAAGAATCCTGTAAGTTTCCAAGGATAGTATGTGCTTTCATTCATAAAACACACAAAAAAATCAAGGGCTTTGCAAAAAAATAGACAACAAAACCAGACCCACAAAAATTTCAGACAGTTGAACAGAATGTAAAATATGTACAATGTATATGTTTAAAGAAATAAAGGAAATGAAAGATTGAAAATGTCAGAAAAAGCAAGAGACTCTAAGATATGACTAGGTAATATTAAAAAGAAGCAAATAGAGTTTTTAGAAATCAAAAATTATTGAAAGTAAAAACTTAATAAATAGACTTAACAATTAGATATATCTGAAAAGATAATTAGTAAACAGAGAGCTGGATCCACAAAATAGCCTGAGTATAATACAGAGAGTTTTTTTT